GTTAGCCTGGTTAAAATCCCCAGCAATGATGAAAACGCCGATTGGAGCTCAGAGATAGCTGGTATAGAGCCTTCATGGGGGGGGCACATAAACAGCAGTGATGCTAACCACACTGAACTCTCTGGGCAGATAGAACGGCCTGCAGTTAACAGTCAGAAACTCCATGTCTGGAGAGCAGAAGCTGGAGACTGATCCAGCATTGTTATACCAGTTGTTTTTGATGTAAACACAGAGTCCACCACCCCGAGTCTACCGCTTAGTTCTTTGTTCCTATCGGCGCGGTATAGCGTTAGCCCCTCCAGGCTAATAGCCTTGTCCGGTGTTGCTGGATGCAACCATGACTCTGTACGAATGATGGTGCAGCAGTTACTGATCTCCTTCCTTGATAAAGGTTCCGGTCGGAGATTATCCATTTTGTTATCCAACGAGCGGACATGGAGAGCAGCATTGATGGAAGCGGAGGACTGTAGGGATTTCTCTGCAGCCTCGTTTTCTCTGTCTCGCACATCTCTTCCTCCTACCAATATGTTCTGCTGCTGTTTTGTTTACATCCGTCCGTAACACTCCGCAGCTTTTTAAACGGTCAAAAATGTCAGGATTTAAAACATTTTGTGACCGTAGCTCCAGCAGGTGTTGGCGATCATAGATGCTGGGTTGATGTTTATTCTGTATCGTATTAAGCGGCATATTTTGTGAAATTATTTGAGTTGTCGAGAGGAGCCGTTCTTGGCCGCCACTTTGGTTGATTGATGATAGATTGATTGATTAACCTTATTGATTTTATTGATCTCACTGTGGAGAAATGTACTCGTTACATCGGCTCAATAGTCAAACAGAAGAAGAAGAAGGTGCCAAAAGGAAAAAAGGTGCATGGGATATATACAGTATATACAGTGTGTCAGTAACTGATGATTCTCCATTGCAGCAGTTATTGTAGTGTGGCATTGTAGCGTCTGGTTGCAGCAGGGATCTGCTCTCTTTCTATCTCTATATTCTTCACTATGGTCTCTATCTAACCTAGAAACCCAGTCAGTCATAAAACTTGTCCCCTCATCACTTCCTCATCTAGGTGGACCTACCTAAGGATTCTCAGGTAAACATTTCTCAGCCCATGTTGTGAATTATGATCAGCAGGTCGGTCTGGATGGGCTGATACTGTGTGAAAGGTCCTCCCTGCCTGCAGAACCGTCTGCGGCTGTGATGAAGAACTCATGTCCTTTTGTTTGGGTCCAGTCTTCTGCGCCTGAGGTCTGTCAGGCCTTTAATCGACTAACAGACCCACTGATTTCCTGCGAACGTCGTTTATTCTGATGTAGCTTTGAAAAGAAGAGCTTCTGATGGAAACCATCTGTTTCCTCTGAACGCCAGGCTAACCTTTAATAGCTAAACTACAGCCAGCGCAGACGCGCCATGATCAGCTCCTGGGAGCCGCTTCCTCAAACTGGAGTCTTCTTAGTTTTCATTCACTTATATAAACACTATTTTATTATTTTGGTGCAGACTTTGGTAAAGTGGGCTATTATTGCTCTGCTGGTCTGATCATTACCTTCCATCATGTGACGTATTTCTGTGGACGGAGCTCAGGCGGAGGCAGGAATATTCCGTCCCCAGAACTTAAACAACGGTCGCTAGTTAGTTTATTCTTTTTTCTCATTTTTTTTAATACAGCTTTAGGAAATCAGAAATGTCTGAATATGTAGCCTACGTTTTTTTTTACTTTATGGAGTCAGAATATTTAACTAAAGAAGTTCAGTTAATGGACGGAACCAGATGGGTTGATCCGTCCAAACCAGCTGATGGAAGGACGATGGCCT